TGTCCAACTCTCTGATGCATAACAAGTGATTGCAAAGACCATAGCCTGTATCAGATGCACCTTAGTCTCCAGAGTGACACCATTGCTCTACCCTGGAGAGGTCCTTAACAGCCGACTTTCCCATCGCAATATGTTTTGATTTCCTGGCTACTGGTGCCAAGAGTGTTGACCATGGAGCCAAGCATTTAGTAATAACCAAGAGCTCATAGGTGTATGAATGGCTAAAGAAACTAATATATTCACAGAATATAATAATTATGCCTACATTTTTACAAAAACTATCAAGAAGTAATAAAATACTGCACAACATGAATGAAATTAGAACAAATTATGCAGAGGACATAAGTCAGTCACAGATGAATCTTGATGGTTCTTGTTATGCCCCATGGAGTTGAAAGTGACTCATACCTGACCTTCCAGAAGTTTTTTAAAGGCTGTAATTACAGAAGAAGAAATTGTCCATCTTTCTCTCATGAAGCAACTAGTGGATTCTAACCCTTATGTTTGTATTGGCAGCACAACTTCTTCCCACCAAGAGCTCACTTATGTTATAAGTGGTATACCACTTATGGCATAAGACCACTATATTAAAAAACCAAGAAATAGTTTAATCACAGAAATAATCAATATTGGAAAGGTAATAGAGAAGAGAAGAGAATGAGAAGGGGGGGGACTATTACGTAAGTACTCAAACTCATTTCCGTCAAGTTTGAACTGACTCAACTTAACCTTAGGGTTTTGGGGACTTTAAACCAAACAGGAGAAAATTGTTTTGCCTTTCTTCTATGGAGATGCTGGTGGATTTGAACTGCCTGAGGCACTGCTTTTGGGTTAAGCAGTGCAGCTCCCTTTAGATCATGCTACTTGTGCTGCACAACCACCCCTCAAAAAACCCCCTCCCATTTCTAAATTATGGCAAAAACAGAAACTAAATGTACACAAATTTAAAAGAAAAGTTACACTTCCATAGTATTTTCATCTCTATTGTTTAACTATGAGTTTAGGGGATGGAGGATAGGAAAGAAAAATACCAAGAGGCCTCTTATTGAGAGAAAACACTGGGTCATGATCAGTTGATATTCATTGGCAAAACAATTAATCTCTCTTCTTAATATAGTACCTAGTGTCAAGGTCACAGGGATTGTCTTTTAGCTCTCTGTTCCCCCAGCACATAATATAGAGGTAAGAATACTAGTACTTGTTCATTATTTTATAAATATATTAGAAAAAATTAATTTGTGTACTTGGAATTTTGGCAGTCTATATATTTTATTCTAAATATCTTTGATCCCTCCAATCTCTGAAGCAATTCAGATAATGCAAATAAATGTGTAAGGCCTCACTGGCAAAATCAAGAACATTCTGATGTCTATTTATTACCTATCTTTGATTCTTGTTCATGAATTGCACTTTATCTAGAATTAGCATTTCCACAATAAGAAAGCTGCTAAAGTAACTAGTTAAACCTTTTCATTTGATTCACCTTATTTCTTTCTTGGCTTTATTACTTAAATATACCTTTCTGTCTATGTTGTTCTTCCTTGGAAGTTTTAGAGTTATTTTCATATTCTCATTATGTTGGAAAATATGTGCTATAATATTTTTATGGTCATTTGATTAGATGTTTAAAACTGGAGATCATTTTTTTATACAATCTTCAAAATACCTTCCTCTGGTGAATGGAGCAGCAGTGACATACAGTGGTTGTTTAGTTTATTCACTAGATGTTATTGCAGAAGATATATTGTAAATTGGTTATTTTGTTAGTATAATAATATTAAACTGTACAGATGTATTTTATGTTGAAATACTAAATGGAGTATATATTATTTTTATACTAAGACCCTAAAAGAAGACATTAGACAAATTTCTACTAAAACTAATGTAATTTACATTATGGTTATAAAAATAAAGGCATTACCTTGATACATGTTGGTAACTACTCAACATATTCTCTAAAATTTTAACTTTAAAGTGTTTCTAAGTGAAAAAAATTTATTATTTTCTTGCTAAATTATATTCTTATTTATCACAAAGTCCAGGAAATGAAAATTTTCTTACTGAAAGATCTGCCATAATTATGAGTGAAGATCATGGACACTTGAATGAAAGAGGAGAGACAGACTTGATTACTGAAAAACAAACAATGCAACCTTTTTGGGGAGAAAATAATAAAGAAGTTTTAAATTCCATTGAAGATGTGAACCAGCCAAACTCCCACATTCTGTCAGAGAATTGTGACTCTTTCATTAGTCAAAATATGATAAATATATTAAACTTAGACCAACAGGGAATAAAGGAAAACATTGATAAGTATGACTGTGACAGCGTGGGGAATATTTGTGTATTTACTAGTTCTAGTAAAAAGGATTCCACAGATAGATGCGTTAAGAGTATTTTTACAATTCCCAAGTTGACTTCCAGTAATTCTGCTTTTAATAAAAGAAGTTATCCTGAAAAGAGTCAGGCAAACAAGAACTATCAGAAAGAATACAACAATAATGAAAGAAAGAATATTAATGCATCTTTTAAGAAGCATTGTTACCCAGCAAGCTCGGAAAAAACAGGTTGGTGTCATATTCAGGAAATGTAGTACCTTATTTTTACACAAATAAGTGTTCTTTGTTTTGTTTTATTTTTAGCAAACTACAAAACCCTCTCACCCACTAATCTCCTGTTTTTGTGTGCATTAGTTACATGAGCATTTAAAATGAGAAAATATGGTAATCTTTCCCTCTCATTTATGTATACATACATACCGGTTGTTGTTGTTGTTATTATGTGCTATTGAGTCACCTGGGACTCATTAGAGACCCTATGTACAACAGCCCTAAACTCTGCTCTGTCCTGTGCCAATCTTATTGTCTCTGAAATGCCTACCCCCATTACCCTATCACTGAATCAATCCATCTCATCGAGGGTCTTCCTCTCTTAAGCTGTCCCTCCACCCTCCCAAGCATGACATCCCTTTCCAAGGATTGGTCCCTTCTTGCAACATGTCCAGAGTTTTTCAGATGAAGCCTCAGAATCCTTGCCTCCAAGGAACAGCCTGGCTTCACCCTCTCCAGGACAAACCTGTTTGTTTTCTTAGCAGTCCATGGTCAATACTCTTGTCCAGCACCACAACTCAAAGGCATCAGTTCTCCTTCTATCATCCCTAGTCATTGTCCAGCTTTGTGATGCATAGCAAGTTATATGCAAAGACCATGGCCTATATCAGGCACACCTTAGTCTCCAGAGTGACATTGCTGCTCTTCAGAACTTTGGAGAGATCTCTGACAGCAGACTTTCCCAATGCAGTATGCCTTTTAATTTCCTGGCTGATGGTGCTAAGATGTTGATTGTGTAGTCAAGCCAATTAAAGCTGTTTATAATCTCAGTCTCCTCACCATTCATCATGATGCTGCCGGTCGGCCCAGTGGTGAGAATGTTTGTTTTCTTGATACTGAACTTCAATCCATATTGAAGGCTGTAGTCCTAGACCTTCTGCAGCAGGCACTTCAGGTTCTCATCATTTTCAGCAAGCAGGGTTGTGTTATCTGCATAATGCAGATTGTTGATGAGTCTTGCTCTAATCCTGACCCCACATTTCTCCTCATAGACTCCTAAATAATCTGCTCTGCATATATATGGAAAATGTATGGCGATAGGACACATCCTTGACATAGACCCTTCCCAATTTTGAACCATGCAGTGTCTCCTTACTCTCTTCTGATGACTGACTGCCTCCTGGTCCAAGTATAGGTTTCACATTAGCATAATCAAGTACTTTGGGATTACCATTCTTCTCATGCCTCCTGGTCCAAGTAAAGGTTTCACATTAGCACAATGAAGTGTTTTGGGATTCCCATTCTTCTCAGAGTTAACCACTGTTTGTTATGGTCTACACAATCAGATGCCTTTGCATAGTCAGTGAAACACAGAAAGACATTGTCTTGTCTGCTATGCTTTCAGCCATGATCTGTCTACATATACATAAGTTCTGGTGACCTTGTGGTAAGAAGCAGCACTGAAATCCCAAAGGCACGTGATTTAAATCCCCCAGCTACTTAGAGAGAGAAGAATGGACAGTGTCTTGTGTGATTTACTGCCTCTGAAAACCTGCTGGTTTTCAGCTCTGAGTTCGTTCTGACTTGACAGCAATATTGTTTTATAGATATGTATTTCAAAAAATATGACATTAAAGAGAATGGTGGGTTTAGAAGGGGTCGTGGTACTAGGGATATTGTAGCTAATGTTAGATGGATATTGGCTGAAAGCAGGGAGTACCAGAGGAAGGTCTATCTGTGCTTCATTGATTATGCAAAGGCGTTTGACTGTGTGGATCATAACAAACTGTGGCTGACTCTGAGAAGAATGGGAATTCCAGAACACTTGATCATGCTAATGTGAAACTTATTCTTGAACAAAGAGGCAGTTGTCAGAACAGAGCAGAGTAACACTGCATGGTTCAAAATTGGGAAGGGTGTACCCCAGGGATGTGTCCTGTCTCCATAACTTTTCAACCTGTATGCAGAACAGATCATCCGGAAGGCTGGGCTCTATGAGGAGAAATGTGGCATCTGGATTGGTGGAAGATCCATAAACAATCTGTGTTATGCAGATGACATAACCCTGCTTGCTGAAACTGAGGAGGACCTGAAGCACTTGCCGCTGAGGGTCAGGGACTGCAGCTTTCAATATGGATTGAGACTCAATGTCAAGAAGACAAAGATTTTCACCACTGGACCGATTGGCAGCATCAGGATGGATGGTGAAGATTGAGATTGTTCATAGCTTTAGTTTGCTTGGCTCCCCAATGAACACTCTTGGCACCAGCAGCCAGGAAATTAAAAGACGTATTGCGGTGGGAAAGTCTGCTGTTAGGGACCTCTCTAAAGTACTCAAGAGCAACAGTGTGTCCTTGGAAACAAAGGTGCATCTGGTACAGGCCATGGTCTTGCAATCACTTGTATGCATCAGAGAGCTGGACAATGTCCAAGGAGGATAGAAGGAGAAATGATGCTTTTCTTTTTTTAAATTTAGGTTGTATGTTTTTCATTTCAATGAACATCTACAGAGATTTTGGGATTCTATTCATTCATTGTTGCACCCTTCTCCCCACACAAAACCCTCCCCCGATTTGCTCCTCTCCTTGAAAAGCAAAAGAAAAACTCCCTCATTGGTACACAATCCCCCCGCACCTCCCCAAACCCCACCCCCTACCCCCAAATATAATCCACTCTGCAACCCTCATTGCATACTCCTACGATAAAAATAATGCCCTAAAATATAATAGTTTTTTTTTAGTTTTGGTGTTGGAGAAGAGTGCTGAAGGAGCCATGGACTGCTAAGAGAACAAACAGATTAATACTAGAGAGGGTTAAACTGGGCTGCTCCTTGGAGGCAAGGATTCTGAGGCTTCGTCTGACATACTTTGGTCATGTTGTAAGGAGAGACCAGTCCTTGGAGAGGGACATCATGCGGAAGGGTGGAGGGCAGGTGCAGGAGGGGAAGGCCTTCTGGGAGATGGATTAATTCGGGGACTGGGGCCATCAGGATGAGTGTGTCGGAGGCAATGAGATTGGCACAGAACAGAGCGGAGTTTAGAGCTGTTGTACATAGGGTCGCTATGAGTTGCAAGCGACTCGACGGCACATAACAGCAACAACAACAATATGACCTGGTGTCAATGACTTTTTTCCTATCTATATTATGTGAATAAGGTTAAAAATAAAAATGGGAATAGACATTGCTAAATTTTGAGTTGAGTCAATACTTTTTTTTTTAAAGGAAAATTTGAAAATAATTACCAAAAGAAAATACCACAGGAAAAAATTCAGGAGAATATTATGTAAGTATTTTGTTAAATCTTGGAAATGCAAATCATTAGTCATATAATACAGATTGAATTGATGCAAATTGAAGTGTGCATATGACTAGAAAAGTGCAGCCTACCCTCAGTGAAGTTTTATCATTTGTCAGAATCTTGGTGATACCATCTTTGTTTAAAGTATAGCACATATTTTCCAGCCCAGAAATGCCATCTTATGTGAACTTTAAATTGATTGATTTGTGGAAACTGATGTGTTCAAGACACTTCTATTCCCATAAGAATGTCAGTTTATTGGTTTATGGCTAGTAATAAGAGGACAGCATGTATAGAAATGCTTACTGGAGTAATATGAGGTTTTTTTAAACTTTGAGAAACTTCCATGAGATGGTTGTTTGACTAGCATAGAATAAGACTAAGAAGAGCTATAGAATTCAAATTTTAATGACATAAGCAAGTTTATTGACACTTCAAGGAACAGCTTATGTTCTAGGAAGAAAATAGTCTCTTCATTGCTGCATCTTCCTATCAGAGATTACGTGCTTTCCCTATGTTCACAATTACCAAGTCTCCCATCCCACTATTGGTACATTTTATTGTTGTTTGTCTTTAAAATAAATTGGGATCTAGCAGATTTTGCTTTCTCTTATGGATGCTGGTATACAAAATGTTCTAATTGAAGATTATTTTTAATATCTCTGTGGGCTCATTTAAAAAATTATTAAGAGTTTTGGGCTGCTCACTGACTTTTTAATATAGTGATTTGCAGATCACAGATAACTATTTTACTAGTAGTTTTAGAAGATTGTAAACATTCAAGTTAACATTTTATTTAGCCAAATCTTATTATTTGAAAATCATAGATTTTTGAACTAATTCCTAGTGATGATATTTTAAAAATAAAAACAATATATGTATAGATGCTGTTTTCAATTATTTGACACAAGTTATTTAAAACCTAGGTTTGTTTAATAAAATTAAGAAAATATGTTCTTGTGAAATTTCCACAGATCCAGCAATATTATGACTGAAAAACTGAATGCTAGGCATTAAGTTCTAGTATGTATTTTATGAAAGGGATGTAAAGTATGGTTCCCAAACTTGACTGCAGATACAAATCACTTATGGAGGTGATATGAAAATGTAGAAAACTGAGTTTGATCCACACATAACAAATAGATTCCTTGAGATAAAGTTTCTCATCTTTATTTTTAAATATATATCACTATAATTTTGAGGTGCACTGAATTTTGAGAAAGACAAATTAGAACAGCAGTTGTCAGGGGAAAAAAATAAATGTCAACTCTCTTATAATCTTTAGGAATAAAACGTCTTTGGGAGAATTGCATTTCCAGCAACCATGGGAAACTGGATATGGAGAGGTAAAGCACATTCATTAACCTTTGTAATTACATGATTGTGTTGTTGTTAGGTGCCATCAAGTTGCTTACAACTCATAGTGGCCTTAAAACAGCCAACCTCAAACCTATCCTGTACCGTTCTCATCATCCCTGAGACACTGGAGCCCATTGCTGAAGTCTCAGTGTCTGTCCATCTTGTTGGAGGTCATCCTCCACTTAGCTGACCCTCCATCTTACCAAGCATTATGTCCCTTTCCAGGGAATAATCTCACCTAATTACATGTCCTAAGAAAGCTTATAGCCTAGTGGCAAGAAACTGCATTGCAATCCTGAAGGCACATTGTTCAAGGCCTCCAGCTACTCTTTGGGAAAAGTATGAACAATCTCCTCCCATGTGATTAACTGCCTCTGAAAACCCACTGCATGGTCAGCTGTGGGTTGGTTCTAACTCCATGGCACATAACAATAACAAGTTATGAATCCAGAGTATGAAAGACAAAGCTTTGTCATCTTTGCCTCCAAGGAGCACTATGGCTGCAACTCTTCCAAGTCATATGTTTATTATTTGGCAATTCATGTCATACATTGAATTGATTTTTGACTCCTAGAAACATCTTGTGACAGAGTAGAACTGCTTCCTATGGTTTCCTGGACATCTTTTTTTCTTGATTGTGATTTGAGTGGAATTTTATAAAGGAAATTAATTTTTTCACTTACCCATTCATACACCTTTTGTTTTACAACATAAATGATAATTCCTACAAGTGATTGCACTTTTCTCCACTTCTGATTTCCATTACCGTTGTCTTCTTGTGTATTCTCTTTCTTTGGTTCTATTGTGATGGTCATCATCTAATTATATGTTACTCTTCCCTTCATCTACCTTAGTATATGTCTGTTTACTTGTTTTTTTTCTTCTTCCCTCTGGTTTCCCAACCCTGGTAACCATGCAATTATTTTTGTGTAAACCTTGTTTTTGTTTTTTTTGTTGTTATAATGTTTACACTATATAAACCACTATATACTGTAAACTACAATACTATATAAATACAGTATTGTGAAAGGAGCAATGTGAGGGTGGCTAAGTCTGACTTCTGCCACTTCATAAAGGGGAAATGTCCTCATCAATAATATCCATAACAGAAAATAGAGAGTTGCTAGGTCAGACACAACCCCCCATGGTCCTGCATGTATTTTCACCAATTCCTGCATTTGACATTTGTTGTTGACTCATAAACTTTACTCACACTTGTGGTACTGAGACTGGGATTTATTAGGGAAGTTAAGTTGGAGAATGGGGAAGCAAAGAATAGCACTCAATGCAAGTCCAAGAAGTCTGAAGGCATAATTCCTCAATTATTCTAGGCTCTGGTTTCAGTTCAGCACTCATCTTCTCCTCCCCAACCCCTCCATAATCCAGCAAGAACAGCAAAACCTTTAACTATGGCCTTTACCTCAGGCCCTTCTAGCTTCACCTTGCCACCTTTTCTCCACAGCAATGCCACAGTCTCTCTGCCATCATCACCAGGGCCTCAGTCTCACTACAGTCTCACTCTGATCTCACTCTCACCAAGATCTTGCGCCAGTCTCCCTCAAATCTTACTGTTCAGTGTGAGAAACGCTCTCCCTCTCACCTCCCCTTCTCTTCACCTTCCTCTTTCTTCCTTCTCCCCTCCCCTCCCCCTCCCTTCTCCCTTCTCCTTCCCCCTCTCCGTTTCCCTCTCTCTCATCCTAGTCCCACAACTGTTGGTGGTGAATTTAAGACCAAGAGTCTATAATGAAAAGAGTTGGCTAGAAAAGACAACTTTTAAGCTAACACTGCAAGTATTTTTTTTTACTTAACATTATTTTAAAAATTTAAGAATTATTTTCGTGCTGACTTTCTTACTTTGCTTATATTTTCCTCACTCCCAGTAAACTATGGCTTATATCTAGAAATGCAAGTGAATACCTTTTCAGAAATTGCAGTTTTCTTTATGTGAATAAGCCAAATAAATTTCTGTAAGTTCTTTAAAATTTCTTCCAAGGTAAAAATGGTTTAAGTATAAATTTGCCATAGGTGGACATAGTCAAACATTCTAAAATATTGACACAGCTGTATACATTTGCCATATCATAATGCAATCCCTGCTTATAATAGCTGTATTATTATTACAATAGTCTGGGAACTGTGGTGAGTTCATTATTAACCTTATTCCTAATGGGTACAACAGTCTTATCCCAAATGACTACTACAGATTCACTAACTCTTGTTCTCTCTAACCATATTTGCAATTATACACACTGTTTTTCTCTCTTATCTTCAAGATACGTGTTGTTGAGCTGCATACCATTGAGTCAAAACCAAGCCATAGCTGACTTTCCAGTAGGAGAAAAATAGACTAAAAATCAAAGGGTGGGAAAAAAGTATACCAAGCAAATGATATCTTTTAAAAAGTGGCAACACTAATCTCTGATAAAATAAACATCAGTATGAAAACCACCATAAGAGATAATGATCAAAAGCAAAATATGTCACAAAGACATAACCCTGGTTAACATCTATGCACCAAATGAGAAACTTGCAAAATTCATAAAATAACAGTTAATAGAGTGGAAGAAAGGAATAGCAGCATCAAAATAGTAATAGGAGACTTTAACACACCACTTTCAACAAATGACAGATCAACTTGAAAGAAACTCAACAAAGATTCAGGAAAACAAAACAAAAAACTGCTGGTGCCAAGAGTGATCAAGTAGCCTACTTGAACTCGTAGATGTATTAAGGGTTCTTTATCCAACTAAAAGTCAGTTTACTTTCTTCTCAAGTGCACATGGTACATTTTCCAGGATTGATTATATATTGGGAGACAAAGCAAACCTCAGCAAATTTAAAACATTGAAATAACACAAAATATATTCTGAAAACACAATGCCATAAACCTAGAAATTAACAAAAAGAAAAAATATAAAAACCCACCTGCACTGTCTCTCCATCCATCCAAGCATGATATTCTTCTTCAAGGATTGGTAACTCCTGGCAGCATACCCAAAGTATATGACATGGAGCCTCAAAATTCTTGTCTCCAAGGAATAGCCTGGTTTCAACTTCTCTAAGACAGACCTATTCTCCTGGCAATCCATAGTTCAATTTTCTTCTCCAGCACCATAACTAAAAGTCAGTGATCTTCTGTTATCCTTAGTCATTTACAGATCTCTGATATATAGCAAGTAATTACAAGTATTATGGCCTGGATCAGCTGCACCTTAGTTTCTGGATTGATATAATTACTCTTCAGCACTTTGGAAAGGTCCCTGACAACGAACTTCTGTACAATTTGTCTTTTGATTTCCTGACTGCTGGTGCTAAAAGTTATCCTTAACTGCCTTTAATTTGCTGGTAATTAAGAAATCCAAAACAAAATCTACTACCATTGTGTCCATTCCTACAGATGATAATGCTCCACTGGGTTTCCAAGGTAATAAATCTTTATGGTAGCAGATGGCTTTATCATTCTCCTGGGATCAACTGGTAGATTGGAACTTCCAACCTTTTACATAGAAGATCAGCCCATAACAAAATATGCAACCAAAGCTACTTAAGAAACAGTCTGAGTTAAAATAAAAAGGAAGGAAATGAAAATAAGTTATCAAATAAATGAGGAAAAAACCCCTCAGGCTCTCGCTGTCAAGTCAGAACCAATTTATGATAAAAACCAAAGTCTCAATCATGTTCCTAGTGAAAATTGTATCTTAAAGAGCTTTTCTAAAACAAAACCAAACACCACAAACTATGAAAATAATGAAATTTATTTGTTGTTATTGTTATTATGTGCTGTAAAATCACCTGGGACTCATAGTGATCCTATGTACAACAGCCCTAAACCCTACTCTATCCCGTGCTAATCTTATTGTCTCTGACACACCTACCCCCATTACCCCAGTCACTGAATTAATTCATCTCATCGAGGGGCTTCCTCTCCTGTGCCATCCCTCCACTCTCCCAAACATGATGTCCCTCTCCAAGGACCAGTCCCTCCCTGCAACGTGTCCAAAGTATGTCAGACAAAGCTTCATAATCCTTGCCTCCAAGAAGCAGCCTGGCTTCACCCTCTCCAGGATGAACTTATTTGTTCTCCTAGCCAAGAAATCAAAAAACGTATTGTGATGGGAAAGTCTGCGGTCAGGGACCTCTCTAAAGTACTCAAGAGCAACGGTGTCTCTCTGGAGACTAAGGTGCACCTGACACAGGCCATGGCTTTTGCAATCACTTGTTATGCATCAGAGAGTTGGACAATGACTAGGGAGGATAGAAGGAGAATTGACGCCTTTGAGCTGTGGTGCTGGAGAAGAGTACTGAATGTACCATGGACTGCCAAGAAAACAAATAGATTCATCCTAGAGAGGGTTAAACCAGGCTACTCCTTGGAGGCAGGGATTCTGGGGCTTCACCTGACATACTTTGGACATGTTGTAAGGAGAGACAGGTCTTTGGAGAGGGACATCATGCTGGGCAGAGTGGAGGGATGGCGCAGGAGGGGAAGACCCTCTATGAGGTGGATTGATTCAGTGATTGGGGTAATCGGGATGGATGTGTCAGAGGCAGTGAGATTGGCACAGGATAAAGCAGAGTTTAGGGCTGTTGTAAATAGGGTCGCTGTGAGTCGCAAGCGATTCGACGGCACATAACAACAACAACAACAACAACAGCAGTCCATGGTAAAGTCAATACTGTTCTCCATCACGACAGCTCAAAGACATCAGTTCTCTTTCTTTCACCCCTAGTTATTGTCCAGCTCTCTGATGCCTAACAAGTGATTGTAAAGACTGTGGCCTGTATCAGGCACACCTTAGTCTCCAGACATTGTTGCTTCTCAGTACCTTGGCAAGATCTCTGACAGTAGACTTTCCCAGTGTAATTCTTCTTTTAATTTCCTGGCTACTGGTATGACTGATGTAACAGAGGCTCAGTTTCTCTGACCTTTTCTATTTTATCTATTGTCATTATTTGAAAAAATGTTTTTTACTTGTGATTAATTTTTCTGCATGTTGATTGTTTTGTTTGCTGTTTCTAAACCAAATTAATTATAATTTAATTTTATTTTAAATTTTTTTATTTAATGCATTTTGACGAAGAGATTGGTTTTCATTCATCCATTAATGCACATTTTCCTTTTACCCCACCTCCAATTTATTTTGTAATGCTTGCCCTGTGCCAGGTTGTTGTCATACACTTAATTTCTAATTGTCCGTTTCTTTCAGATTATCCTTCTTTTTTGCCTATTCCAATGCGCTGTCCATTACCTATCCATTCTTTTCTTGTTCTGCTCCGCTACTCCCCCAGTATAGATCCTGTTATTTTTAAAGTGGTCTTATGCAGTATTTATCCTTTTTGAATGGATATATTTCAGTCAGCATAATGTCTTCCAGACTCATCCATGTTGTGTTGTGGTATTTCATTGTTTTCAGGGCTGCATAATATTCCATTGTGTGAATGTACTGTAGTTTATCTATTTACCTGCTGATGCCCATTTGAGCTATTTCTGTATATTTTACATTATGAATTATGCTGTGTGATAAACATGGGTGTTCATATATGTGTGGTTGTGTCACAGGTCTGATTTTTTTTTTTATATATATTCTCAGTGGTGGGATAGCTGAGTCATGGGATTTCTAATTTTCAACTTTGTGAGGAAGTACCAAACAACCTTCACAGTGATTGTACCATTTTAGATTTCCCATCAGCATTGTATGAGAATTCCAGTCTCTCTGCATCTGTACCAGCATTCGTTGTTGGCTGTCTTATTGAACTTTGTTTGCTTTTATTGCTGGATGTCTCACTTTTATTTTGATTTGCACCTCCCTAGTAGCTAGTGATTTTGAGCAATTTTGCATGTGTTGCTGATTATGTGACCTTTGGTGAAGCGTCTGTTAACCACTTCTGCCCATTTTGTGATTGGGTTGCTTTGTATTTTTTTCTGCTAATGCACAAGTGTATTCTATACATTTTAGTTGAGTCCCTTATAAGATATGTCATTGCCAAATATTTTTTCAGTCAGTGGACTTTCCTATTACTCTGTTGGGGAAGTTTTTTGATGTACACAAGGATTTGATTTTTAGAAAGCCCCAGCTATTTTGTCCTCTCCTGGTTGTAGATTTTTAGTTTTACTTGAAATTGATTTATACCATATTAGGGATTTTGATTTGTCCCTAAATTTTATCTTTGGTGAATGTTTTAGCTTTAGATTTTTGTCCTAGGTCCCTAATCTACATCGAGTTGGTTTCTGTATATGGTGGTGTAAGGTATAGATCTTGCTTTAGTTTTCTGCAGATGGTTATCTGGTTTTGTCAGCACCTAAAGAGACTTTCATTTCCCCACTTAATTTATTTCATTTTGATGTTGATAATCTTCATTCATTTAAAATAATATAAAAGAAGAATTTCATAAAATGATTTGGCACAACTTTAAAATAGTTCCCTGAATTTTTAATAAGAACATAGAGGGTATTATTTTGTATACTTGAAAACTGTTAAACTCTTGTTTTTAGTTTTGTCTTTTCCCCCTTCCTAGATTCTGATGGAAGACAGAGGAACAAGCTCTTTAAAAGCCAGGCCAGCATCTCCTGAGAAAATCTGTCAGTATTATAGTATTTAAAAGAGCTCTAATTTAAATAGAAATATGTCAAATTTTTTAGTTTTTAGAAGCAAATAGGTATTTTGTACATATCTTAGATTGTACTAAAACATGCAGCTGACTATAAATTGTGTTGTTTATATAATATACATGGTCATTATTCAGAGTGTGTAATAAAGAGTAATATACTCAACTTGATGGTATATATCAACAATAATAATAAGACATGTATCCTTATACTCAATTGCATTTCCTGTTAAAGCCCCTAGAGTTGTATCTTAAATTTATCTTTTCTAACTTTTATTGTTATATATAGACTTTCATTATACTTGATTTTTTTAATACTTAAATATATTACTATATAATAGCCAAGTAAATAATAAATAAGCCTAATTATTGATAATAAAGTAATAGATATTTTTCTCTGGACCTAAGTTTTGTCCTTAGAAACCAACCATATGTATATCCCAACTGAATAAGGTAAGGAGTCTTGGTGGTTCAATAGTTAAGCATTGTTAACTGAAAAGTTGGCAGTTCAAAACCATGGTTCTTTAAGACATAGCAATCTACTTCTATAAAGATGACAAAGTAAACATTACTTGATTTTGACTTTTTATGTTGACTTACTTTAAAGCAAACTGTTGACACAAGCATGACTCTAAGCCAAACTGCCAAACTGTTGGCAGTCTGAACTCACCCAGAGGCGTCAGGTGATTTGCTTGTAAGGTCACAGCCTTGAAAACCCTGTAGAGCAGTGTTCTACTCGGCTTAGGCTCATCATGAGTCAGAATCCAGTCAAAAGCAACAACAGCCTACAACTACAAAAACAATTTAACAATCCTGCAAACAGTATGTGCTTTATTAGAGAGCTTCACCAATTGGGATTGTAGTGACCCTCAGTTTTTATAACTCTAGCAGAGATAGGGAGGTCATGGATGTACAAACGTTTGTACGCAACTCATTTGAACACACCAGAAGTGCCTTGTATGACAAGCCTGGCATTCTGTTTTCAAAAGATCACAGCCTTGAAGAATCTATGAAGCCTTTCTACTCTGTGCGTATGGGGTTGAGTCAAACTATTTGCTCAACATGAGCAACATGAGTATGGAGAGCTAACAGAGATGTTGTTGTAGTTGTTAGGTAACATCAAGTAGGGACCGACTCATACATAGCTGACCCTTCAGTGGGTTTTCAGAAACAGTCAGTTGTATGGGTGGAGACTGCCTGTCTTTCTCCTGTGGAGCCACTGGTAAATTTGTAGCTTCTTACTGTCAGAGGACCTTTGTACTATACTAGGAAACCTTATATTATAATGCTGTTACTAAGTGCCATTGAGTTGACCAGGACTCATAGTGACCCAGCTAATAGCATTTGTAATTTTGTTTGTAAGCCTTGTCCTATCCTGTCCCATCATCCTCATCTCTGATATGACTGAGCCTATTTTTGTAAACACTTTGTCAGTCCATCTTATTGAGGGTCTTACCTATTTTTATCTGAATCTTCACCTTTCTCAGCGTGATGCCTTTTTTTCAGGGACTGTCTTTTGATAACATGCCCAAAGTATGTGAGATGTAGTTTCACCATCCTTGCCTCTAAGAAACACCCTGGTTGCATCTCCTCCAGGACAGATTTGTGTTGTTTTTTTTTCTTCTTTTGGCAGTACATGTCATAGTCTTCTCCAGCACCATAATTCAAAGGCTTTAATTCTTCTGGAAGCCCTTATTCATTGTTCAATTTTCAGATGCATAGAGAGCAATAGAAAATACCATGGCTTTGATCAGGCAAATCTAAATTTTTGGATTTTGTGTTTTAAAAATATCTTGTTATGTTAATGAAAGTTTACAGAAACATTGGATTTTCATTTATTCATTCATTGTTACACAATTTCCTCCCTCTCCCTGCCTTCTTCTCCCCAAGTTTACTTTGCAATGCACCTCTTATTTTGGATTATTGTCATACATATAATGCCTAATTATATATTCCTTTTAAACCATTGTTTCTCTCATTTGTCTCAATTCAGTGTTAAGTGTTATCTAGCCTCTCTTTTCCTATTTCCCTCCCCCAAACTCCCAAGTCAGTCCTGCTATAACAGTGGTGTTATGCAATATTTGTCCTTTTGTTGCTGGGATATTTCACTCAGTGTATTTTCTTGCAGGGTTACTCATGTTGTGTAATGTTTTATGAGTTCATTGTTTTTCAGTGCTGCATAGTATTCCATTGTGTGAATGTACCTTAATTTTTCTATCCATTTGTTTGTTAATGAGCATTTGGGTTGCTTCCATCTCTTTGATATTGCAAATAGCACAGCAATAAGCATGGATGTGCATACATCTGTTTTGAGTGATGGTTCTAGTTTCATTAGTTTCAGTAGTGAAATTTCTGAATCAAATGATATTTGTTTCAAATTTTTGAGAAAATGCCATACTGCCTTCCATTGTATTTGCACCATTTTTCACTCTCACCAGCCATGGGTTCCAGTCTTTCCACCTTTCCATTCCAGCATTTGTTGTTTGCTGCTCTGTAGAACTTTGTTATTGTTGCTGGGGTGCATCTTAATCTTTAAATCCTTGCTCCTTAACACTTTGGAGGGGACCTTGAGCATATTCCCAATGCAGCACATATTTTGATTTCCTGAGTGCTGTTTTCATGGGTGTTGATTATGGATCCAAGTAGAATGTTTTCTTTTTAAAAATTTTTTATTTTACATTGTTTTGCTTACAAAGTTTGTATACATTGCTTTTCACACCATCTTTCTAGAATGTTTTCTTGATGTTGCGGTGTAATCCACATTGAAGGCTGTAGTCTTTGTAAGTGCTTCAAGTCCTCTTCTAAAGGCAAGGTTGTGTCATCTGCATAAAGCAGATTGTTTATAAGTCTTACTCCAATTCTGATGGCATATTCTTCACCATATAGTACAGCTTCTCAAGTAATATATTCAGTATACAGATTGGATAGGCACACCTTTTTGATTTTTAAAATATGCAGTGTTTCCTTGCTTTGTTTGGACAGCTTCTTGGTGTATCTGTAGGTTTTGTATAGTTATGTATTTTTGGATTCCTGTTCTTCTTG